ACGATCACCATAAAGAGTCATTAAAGGCTATGGTTTTCAGGTAAAGCTGACACAAATCTGTCATTTGGAATGTTTGAAGTGAAATTAAAACTTTATAGACCTCTATGCACAAGGAATTCACAATTCACACACAATTCATGGATTTCTTCAGACTCCGCTACAGCCCTTATGAGACCACAGCTTGCTGGGGCTGCATGACAGAGGAGCAGAGGAAAGCAAATCAGGAAACCATTCACCTTCCTGACTCAATTCCACCTGCAGTCTGTGCACACTTAAATTCTGCTGTCAGACAGCTTTAACTCGAGCCACTCCCTGGAGGTCATGAAGGATTTTCATACCTTAAGGACAGCCATACATGCAAACACAACCCTTACCTGTCTCTGCACATCTCTCTTCCAGGGAGGGTCTGCCAAAGAAAGGCATTTTCCCAACAGAGATGATCCCTCTCTGGGCTCCAGGATGGAGCTGCAAAATAAAATCCTTGTCTTCAGCCATGCATTATACAGATTTCTTCATCAATACACACCTAGCAAAAGCAACAAAAGAAAGCTCTGTATGCAGAAACTAAGGTAATGCTGAAACTATCTGTGGATAATGTGCAAGTACACATTCTATGTCCAGCTGAACTGTTATAAATCCCAATGATATTTTTGTGATATGTTAACAAGCAAGCAGTGCATAACCAGTTGTGAGTAACACACAATATGTGATTTCCTCTGTCACTGACTTGTAAGAGTGTTTATTTAGCTGTTGCTTGTCCTTTCAGTGATCTAAACCTCCAGAAAGTAAAAATACATGCTGGCCTCAGAAACTGAAAATATTCTCATTAGCCATCCAGATGTTTTTACCTTATACCCCAGAAGTACATTTGCAACAAATGGTGTATTAAAGTAACACATTACCCTGGGTCTCATTTTTTGAGTTGCTGTAACAAGCTTGTCTGGGTCAACTTATTTATTGTAAAGTTGTCACATTTGCACCAAAGCTCTTCGCCTTAAACCTTCAAACTCATTCCTTCAAACAAGTACCTTCTCCTTGGAATTCTTATGAGCAATAAAGCCTCCTTCAAAAGCATCACTTTGAGGTCCAACAAATGAAAAAATTCTTAGCTGAAGACTCCATAAAGGCCTCAGCTTTTCCTTGGACCAAAGCTCTATCACATCTGTATTAACACCAGGATAGAGTAGGTAAAAAACAGTCTATTATAGAAATTTATAAAGGAAAATTGGAGGGCTCTGACTGTATATCAACTCAAGCCTTGTAATAATCACATTCTGAGACTCCTGATGAGTTATGTGCAGGTTCAGAAGCCCAGGGAGAATAGATACTTGAATAATTCTTCTGCTATATCTTATCCTATCAAGTTCAAGAAGAGGATTTCCCTTTCTACCAATGCTTGTTGCCTGATTTTGCATTCAGAAATCAAAAGAAAACAATGCTATGGAGGAGTAACATATTCATGACCATATAAGCTGTACCTTTGTAAATATGATAAATTACCAGAACTAGGCCATCCAAGTAAGGAAGAGAACTTCCCAGTTTTTCTCCTGATCTCTGTTTTCACCATAAACAAAAATGTCTTGCATGGACCATGCCAACTTTCTTCACATACCAAAAGGAAACCCCTCCTTGACAGCAGATATGATCTGAATAAATCACTGATGTGTTCTGGATGGGTGGAGTTTGGGGCAAGATGGGATGAGAGCTGATAAGGCTACTGCCAGCCCACAGAAGTCTCTCCCTGTTGCCTTTGCAAAAGAGCAAAGGCCATGAAGAACAGCACTGTAAAGAAATCAGCTGAGAGCTGAATTTTAAAAGCCTTGCCACCCAGGCCTGAATTTCAAAAAGTACTGGTCAAATTCACATTTAGCATTTCCAGTATCAGGATATTTTGGCATCCCTTGACCTCTTCATCAGAGCTTCTGGACATCTATTGCCTGCTCCTCCTCCTTCCTTCTCCATCTCCACAGCCTGTTACTTCTGTTACAGCCCATAACTCCTCTGTTGCTTCCAGCTCTATCCTTGTCCACTCTTTTGTTTTGCCTCACGTTATGAATTCTTATCTTATTTAGGGAAACTCAAAGCCTACAAAACACTGACAGGTTTACTCTGCTTCTAGCATCCATAGGCAATGTGCCAAGAAAATCCTCAGCATAAGCCAATCCAATAAAATATTTGATACTATCCTTTCAGGACCGCTGAAACACTTTATTTAGAAAACTCTTTAAGGATTGCGGTGGGGGTTTTTGAGTTCTTTATCTGTGGAGCTCAGGCTTTGCTACTATATAAAGTAAAGCTGTTGTTTCTCTGCTGCAGCATCCCTGTCACTCAGGGACAGCTCCTAACCCCGCACCTCTCTCACATCCCACAGCGATGCCATCACCGCGCTCTGCCGCTGCCGCCTGCGCTGCCCCGGGGCCGGGATGGGAGCTGAGCGCCAGGGCCCTGCACAGAGCGGGGACCGGCAGCGTGGGGGTGTGTGTGTCACAGAAAGTGTGTGTGTGTCTGTGTGTCACAGTGTGTGTGTGTCTCTGTGCGTGTGTCCCCGCAGGGCGAGCAGCGGCTCCGGCCGGGCTGGCCGTCACTCGAGTGCCCACAGTGACATCTGCTGGATCCGCTCCTTCCCGAGCGCCGCTGGAAGGATGGGTCAGGCGCACGCAGGCTCCGCTGCCAGGCGGGGAATCAATCGGCGACACCGATTTGCGATGCGCTGTGATCATCGGTACTGCTGACAGCGGAGCGCCTGAGCGGGGCTGGCACGGCAGAGGGAATCCCAAGCCCTTTGCCATCCCAAGCCCTCCGCCATCCCAAACCCTCCCCCACCCACTGGGCTTCTCCACACAGAGGCCTGAATACACAGCCTTCTCTTGCAGTGCGGAGATAACGTCTGCACAAGCTGGCATCTTCTTTTGATCATTTCACTGAGAGCACTCAGCTCCTGAGCAGAGTGCGAGAGTCACCAGGCTTCTAACAGAGTTGAATCCTTCCAAGTTTTCCCAATCATGGATTTTTTTTTTCCACCTGCTTCTTCCAAGCAGAGTATTCAAATCCTCCAAATCTTAATTGACCAACTTGAGAATCCTGCTAGAGAACATCAAACACATTTGACAGCTTGGAACTGCTTTTCAGTTACAAGATTTTAATAATACTAATTCCACTTAGCAGTTCTACCTCCATGACTTTTTTTCTTTTTTCTCTTTTTTTTTTTCTTTTTCTGCTGCTGCTGTTAACTGAAATATCTTTCTGTAAAGCTGAAGCTCATCACAGGATTGATGAGCAACTGCTTTGACATTGTGGGTCAAGCCTTTCCAGGTGACCTTTCCATATGCTGACAGTCAGAGCACAAGAGAGAGGCATTGATTGTCCTGGAGATGAGGGGACACAGTTCATTTTAGGATATGTGGGAGTGTGGAGACTCTAAGAGGAGGATTGCTAAGCCAGGATGTTGGTTTTGGTTTGTTTGTTTTTTTTTTTTTTTAACAGGAGCATATAAGAGGAAAGAGAAACTGGCAACAAACAACTAAATTCAGAGGAAGAACAGAGAAGTCCACAGCCCATTTTGCAGAACTCAGAGGCTGGGTATCCTGAAGCTTCCAGAAGTGGCAGCAGGACAGAGAGAAGGAAAGAAGGTGTGTATCCAAAACTTACAGAACCACAAAAACCTTTTTCCCTTAAAATTGAATGGGAAATAAGAAAGCCAGGAGGAGCTGACTTATGAATTTTTGAAATCCAAGTTACTTACTTAATTTTTAAACTTTAGTTACCCAGCTACAAAGTCTTGACCCTTCTATTGCCACAATCATATTTATAAAGTGCTTTATCCTATTTTGGAAGCCTGAAGACTTCAAATAAATCATGACCTAACCAGAAAGGCCTCTCTGGAGGAAGCTGTCACCAGTGTGTACAATATTGTACATGGGCAGGGGGACGATTCAGAATGGGAGTTACCAAAGGTGACGCAGATTTTTTGCCCCCCAAAGAGCCAAAAATGAGTTAAATGGCTGAAATTGTAGATTCAAAGAAAGCTTGAAAATGCAACTCAGTTATCATGATCTTGAGTACAGACACATGGCACAGCTATTCAGTTCAAAGACAAGCAGGGATGAAAACAAGACAATCCAAACCCAGATAGGGCAGCTGTCTAGATATTTCCATCAACAGGCCAGGTTTTCTGCTTTCATTTCAACAAAGAAATGTCTCATTCGTGGAGGATCTGGCCAAAGTTTTCAGACTGTGTGAAATACTAACAAACTTCTATTCATGTGAATAGAGAAAGTAAGAGGGTTTTATTAAATTGTAAATCTGCTGCTAATTCATCAGTCTAGTCTGCAAGTGCCAATTATAAAACCCCACATGTTTTGAGGATAAAAATTAAATGTTTTGACTTTGATGAGACTATTCATGTGTCTGAACATGTGTTTATGGTCTTTTCTGGCTGGAGGCCTAACTGCAAATCCTTTATTCTTTAGTGCTACTGGAATAGGAAATAAGCAATAAGAACAGTTTTCACTTCTAAGAAATTTTAATATTTGGCTTTTAGCAGGTATTTCACTGTGTTTCTTAGGAAACATTAAAATCTAGTGAACCCACAAATGTCACCCTAATTCTTAAGATTTTCTAAAGCCTTCTGAGTTTACATTCTGTAGGAGAACTTTCCCACACAATTTCTATAAACAACATATTGTTTTGCATTCCTTTATGGGGTGGAGAAACTTGATGTACTGGTGGTTTGTCCAATGTCTTTAGAGAGGTGGCCCATTCACTCTCCAATCTAATGTCACCTTTGGGAAAGTATAAAAGGTGGAGTCAGAGAAATAAACTTTCTTCTTTACCTTGCAAATAGCAGGTGGCTCGTGTCATGCTTTCACATGTCCTATAGCAACACACAAACTTCTTGGGGGTCTTTTTTACAGTACTTAAAATCTGATCCACAGTAATACAAATAAAAACCATGGGATTTCTGTTTGGCAGAATTGGTCAGAGTCGATGTTTATATACTTACTGTAGATGTGGAGAGAAGCTCTGCATATCTGGGGAAAAAAAAAGGAATCTGAAATATATCTGCCATAGTATATATACTGCCACTACACAGGAAGATTTAGTTTAATGTTGGAGTGATCCAGCACAAACCCTTCTGAATTAATGAAGCAAACTGAGCTATTTCTATTCAGGTGCTCTAACACAAAGTTAAATATTTGTTTTGCTGTTCATCGTGGAAAAAAGTTTGTGGGTTGGTTTGTTTGGGTTTGGTTTGTAGGTTTGTTTCCCAAAATTAAGGAAAAAAAAAAATCCAAATTATAAAAATAAATTCATCACAGTTACCTGTTGAAAATTCAGGATTATGCAGGGAATTTTTCAACCACATCTGACCAACCCATATTTATATGGGTTTCACTGCTAAATGCACCTCAGCTGCTGGCACTCCTACCAGATGAAAACATTTTAAAGACTTGATAATATTTCTATTAATTTTATCACTGTTTATATAGATACTACTGAAGAGTATTCTCATTTTGTTCCAATCTTGGGTCCTTGGTTCAAGCCTTGAATCCTTACTTCAAAGTTCCTTATTATATCAAAATTTTAAATTCTTAATAATTACTTTGAAAGAATGTGTCCCATTTTCTATATTTTTTCTTGAAAGTTATAGGTATTGAGTTTATTTTCCAGAACATACATGATCTGATTGTGAACATCCCTTTGAATTATTTAAAAAACATTCCACGTGAATAGGAATTCATATTGTTCACTAAAAAATGAGATGTGCCTTACTGTCTTCTAATTTCTGAAAATAGGAGATTGTGGGCCCCTCCTTGAATCATTGTTTGATCAATATTTTCAATATCTTGAAAATAATAACTTTCAATAACATTTTCTTAATTCTCTGTATAGCCAGAATTAATTCTAAAAACTATGAAAAAGGGTTGAAACATGAATGCTTTTGTTTCCAAGCCAGAATAACCAGGATACAAATATTTCTATAAAACAATACACTGATCTCACTGACAACTTTTACTAGCACTCTAAGAAGGATCATTTTTAAATAGCAAATCTTCAACATTTAACATAGAGGATATGACCTAAAAAATAAAAAACACCAAAAAAAACCCCACTCTGAAATAGCACGAATATGAGCAAACTATTACAGAAACTCAAATTGCTTGTCATTAAGAAGAGGGAGGAAAGCCATCTCTGTGATAAAGCACTACCCTGTAAAAGTATTAACCAGTCATTTAGTCCAGCTGACAGCTCTAATGCTTCAAGAGCTTCAAAGATTTCTCAACTAGAAATGTAGTAGTGCCAAAAATACATCAAATGGGCCTTTAAAAAGTCATTCTATGCCTTCTATTATGCTAACACTGCAACTTTTAATCACTGGCTTTAGCTCCAAGAGTTTATGAAATGAGTGAATTCTTTTTGACCCTTTTCATAATCCCTACAGCATAAACTCATCCTATTGTCTACCCAGTAAGGCAGACAAGTTATAAGGAATATTATCTAGTTAGCCTGCAACATTATTAACTCATCTGGAAACCACTTGAAAGGAAATCACACAGAAGAAGGTAATTATTCCTATTTTTTAATACTCTCCAGCTATTTGAGTGCTGTTGTCATTCCTTCATGCTTCAGACCAGGTCAAGCTCTCTCCTAGGAACCCACTGGCCCTGTCCTCTTGCGAGAAATAACACAAGTAACACAAAGAGGCATCTCCTCACTGCCTTATACATTCACAGGCTCCAATACCCACTCTAATTTGGAATTACCTGGTAATCAGACAATGTGGGAAATGGACTTGTAGAGAGTTGTCAGGGCCTGACGGAAGGCCCACACAGTACACATCTGCATGCAAACTTCAAGATAAGAAATGCCGACTTAGAAATGCCATAGAATAGGACAGATGTTGTTGAGAGAGAAATGGAGCTAAAAAATGTTTCAAAATATGGCCTTGCAAATAAGACTAGATACTTAAAAAAAAAATAAAACTATAAAAGATACATTGCAGTAAAACCCACAAAAAATAGTTTTAGGTGATTGGCTTTAAAACATCTACAACATAGTGTGACAAAAAATTAATAAACCAAGAAACGCTTATAGTGTTTTGTAGTTAATTCTGATTGTGATAGCGTAAATTATAACACCTATATTATCTCACCCTTCTCATAAGACTAAAAATAAAATAAAATTTTTAAAACACCTCTCAATTATCCCATCTCTAATTCAAAAAAAAGTATTATCCAACAAGACCCCTCTATAGAACCAATGCCTCAAGGCCTAGCAGCAATTAATATGATGCCAAACTGGTGGCAATTCCCTTCCTGATCCCATGCAGGAAAGCACCTTCTTCCAACATACACCATAAAACTTTGGAAATTCAGTAATTCTCTTTCTTCTCTGCTCATGACCACCAGCAAGCAGATGCTGGATTTCCTGGGCAGAGCACATGGAGCAACAGAGAACACTCTCCCTGGGGTTGTCCCGTGCAGGGCCAGGACCTGGGCTTTGATGATCCTTGTGGGTCCCTTCCAACTCAGGATATTTTATTATTTTACTCAGCCAGCATGCAGAATAGAGGACCTTGGCCATGGATCCCTCTGTGCCCTGATAAATATTCAAGATCTCACAAAATTTCACACTTTTCTTCCATGAATATATGATTATGGTTTGCTGCCAGAAAGTCAAGGGAGGGCATCAACACCAACAAGTGCCTTCTGCTTTTACTACTGGTGTAATGTAATCCCTTTACCTCCAAACACCCAAATAAGAGAATAAAATGACTCTCCCAGGATCTCGTTGATGTAACAGTGATGCATTCAAAACTCATAATTAAACAGTCTCTACAAAACCTTAGGTAAAGTTGTTCTGCTGCAAAAGCTGCTAAATGACAAAGGTGTAAAAGCAAGGGATGATAATCTATTGCCAAACACATCTGACCTGCAAAAATGTAAACCAAAATCAAACTCAGCATCATCTATGAATACCTCTTTTTTTTTTTTTTTTTTTTTGCTATATCACAACTTGGGAACATTATTGCTTTGTAGAGTTAAGCCCTGTTTAATGTGACCGTATCCAAATATGAACCAGTCCATCAGCTGTTTAATTACCAGTAGAACAGGCATACCAAATTAAATGCTAGAAAGCACCCCCAACAACTCAAGGCCTAGTTGTTCACTTTGTGTCACATTGATACTCTTAACCCAGAAATTCCTCCTTTCCTTTATAAACTGTTCTCTCCATTAATTACTTTGGCAAAGTGTAGAGGAATCAACAAATCATGGTGAGCAGAGTGGCAGGCAATCCTGTTCCTGAAGCTGGATATTTCATCATCCCAATTCTTTCCCGAGAGCTGCTTATTTTAATCTGTATTTTACAGGGTAGAAGGCTGTTATTCCATCTCTGCCAGGGGAGTAGGGAGGCAAGTTTGAGGTAGATTTATGAAGAAACAATAATCCTCAAATCACTTGCAATTCCATCACCCTTCAGCCAGAAAATTCTCATTCTATTTAGCATGTGTTCAAAGGGCCCTGGTGGGATGGAAGTGGTGCAGGCACAGACAACTCCTGCCACATGCACAGGGTGGTAACTTCAGCTTGTAAATTATGACACAGAAAGTACTTGTAACAGCACAAGACATCTCTGAATCATGCAGGGAGATGTTCTGAAGCCTCCCTCTGCTTAGTTATTTCTCTTTCCTTCCTCTCAGAAGGCTCTCATTCCCTGTAGACTCTATATAATTTTTTCCCCACAGATTTATGTCTTATTATTATATGCAGACATTGTTGAAGCCTGCAGAAGGAACTAAACACACTCCAGCAATGCTATTCCAGAAGATGTTAAATTTAAACTACTTGTAAAGCAGTTTATAAAATCGAGCTAAGCTCAGCAATAAATATTACCATCAACATCTTTCCATTTTTTCCCCTCAGACACATCAACTCTGTCTCCTGAAGTCGTCTCTGATTCAAATAGGATCTCCAGATCATGGTCCTGCTAACATACTACATTCCAAACACATTTAAATCTTCACAATGATCAAAGATGACAATGTCAACACTCAGAAAAGATGCTCTTTAAAGCACTCTGTTTCTGTCACTAAAATTTTTTACACCAACAGCCTTCATTTCCAGCATAAATTGTAAGAACATTTTAATGAATGTTGTATTTGTAGTATAGCTTATATTTACTTCTCTGTGTTGTATTTCACATCCTCTAAGTTTTTCTCTAGTGCAGTTTCTTGCTTTGCTTCCACAACTCAGCATTACAGAGAAAACTTCAATATGGAGAATATTCTCCAAAACTGCAGCCAGTTAATGCTGCATTTCTGTCTTTTGGAGGAAAAAACCAAGCCTCTTCAGCATTATTAGGAAGCAAATATACCAGAAAAATTTACAAGGCTACCCAGGAAATCACCTGTGAAGGTCAAACATTTTAAACCTCTGGGATACCATAAAGAACATTTCCCATCAAAACAGCACATTTATATAATATTTACATGTATATTTTGACCAATTCATATGGCGCAATGCCATTTACACTGAGACTGACAGGAACTTTCATGGTTTAATGAGAACAAGCTTTTCCTTCTAGATTTTAGAGGTAGAAGGGCCCCATTAAAATGGTCTGGTTGAGCTGCTGAGTACCAACAGCCACAGAAAGTCATCCAGTAGTTTCCATATTGAGTCAAAATAATTCACAGATGTATCAGCACGCCTGTCAAAAAGTATCCAGTTCCATTTAAAGATTTTACTCAGAGAGCTTAAATGATTTTTTGCTTTTTGTTTATCTTACCTAGCTGATATTTTCATCGTGTTTCATGAAGAAATTTTCAAATTCAGGCATCTTTTCTCACAATGGAGATTTTAGGCATCAGCAGCTACTTTTTAACTTTCTCTTCTGCATATAAATATTTATACTCCATATTAATAAATTGAAGAAAAATCTCAAAAATATGCTGCTTAGTCACAGGGGATGAATAGCATGACTCACAAAGACTGAGATGGTAACAAGTTAATACAAATCATGCACTGTACCA